TACTCAAGGTGTCAGAGTGCTTTGTTTTTGTACAGCAGGAAATTGGCCCAGAGAGGGTAATGAATGGCTTAGAGTCACACAGCAAACGAGTAAGAGAGCAGATACTGAAACCCAGACCTCCTCCTCCTTGCTCTGTGCTTTTGTTGTCACTGGGTTGCAGACTGTGTGTAGAAAGAGAAGAAAACTTCGTCTAGAACATGTTGCATTTTTGTGTGTGTGTGCGTGTGTGTGTGTGAGAGAGAGAGAGAGAGAGAGAGAGAGAGAAAATCTCACCGTACTGAGGGCCCACTCTGAGCCGCTCAGTCCTGCACTCTGAGTCCTGCACTAGGCACTCTGCAGACCTGACCCCATTGTCCTGGGGACAGGCTGGCTCTGTCTCCACTCACCAGGCCCAGAACTTAGCACATAGTTGGCACTCAAGAAATATTTTTGTGGAATGAATGAATGAATAAATCTAAGTCCCCCATCAGCCTCTAAATAAAATACAATCTCAAAACTTTTTAGAAGCATTTTTCAAAAAATGTCTTGAAGCTCCATAGCTTCTGCAGGTCACTGGGATGGGGAAATTAGGCTCAGAGAAGTTGACTGACTTGACAAAAGCCACACAGCCAGTGTGTGGCAGAGGCTGTGTTGGAACCTCCATCTGTGAGTCTCTGAGGTCCACATGTGTGCACGCACACACGTGTGTGTGTGTGTGAGGGGGTGGTAGCTGGGGGTGGGAAGGTGATAAAGAGTAAGGATTCCGCCTCCTGCCATGAAGAATACGTTAGAAGAAAACAATCTGGAAAGAGCACTTTCCCACCAAGCAGGCGTTCAGCTCAGACAGGGGCCAGCAGCTCTCTAGCCAGGTTGTGCTGGATTTGTGTTCCTGCAACACTGGTTTTAAATCATTAAAGAAAACAACAGCCACAAATAAAACCATCCTTTACAGGCACGGGGGAAGCCTGCTGCTTGATGAAAGCCTGCAGCACACTTGTTCTAGACCATGAGGAATTCTCCAGCGACTTTGAATTTGCCCTCCTGGATTTTCTCAAAGCACAGCAGATGGGCCAGGTGGCAGAGAAAACCGGCCGCTGGGCTCTGGCCAACAGGAGCTCGTCCTCGGTGGCAGCCGCCCTTCACGGGGGCCCTCAGACCCAGCCGAGCCTGCTCCCTTCCCAGCCACGCTGGAGTTAAGCCCAGCCGTGGGCCCTAGCTCTGGGGACAGGCTGGAGTCCTGAGCCAGCAGCCCCAGCTAGAAAATTAATAAAGAATGAGAAGCTCTTGCAGCCAGGCCCATGGTGAGAGACGAGTTAGGTCATGTCTCTTTCTGTTCAATCGGATATTAGTCCCGACCCTGATGTCACCTTCCAGCTATTAAGCATCACCCTCAGAGACGTGGGTAAGCTGCTCAGAAGCCTCTTATCTGGTCAGGCCCTGGACGCTGTTTCTTTGCAACAGCAGGTCAAAGGGAAGAGACTCATTCAGGCTTCAGACAGAGCTCAGGGCTCAGAGTGGTGGGGGCAGGGTGTGGGGGCGTGAATGATAGAGAATCTCAGTCCTGTGGCCAGAATCAGACACAGCTTCTTTGGGCTACAGAACTGGGGTAAGTATTCACTGCCTCCTGTTTTAGGCAAGGGCATGGCCTGCCAGACCTGGTGGGCTCTGAAGGCCTGGACTGCTTGAGGCCCCCCGGCCTAACCAGCCTCAGGGCCAGAGCTTCCCCTGTGTGGTCCATGTGGCCAGCAATAGGCACTTGTGTCCTGAGAAGCCAGGCAATGCCATTCATGTAACAAGTCCCCCATCCATCCAATCATCCATTCATTCATGCCATAACTATTTATTGAGCACCTATTGTGTGCCAGGCATCAGGCTAGTAGCTCGGAATACAATGCTCAGAGAAATATGTCTCCTTTTCTTCCCTCCAGCTTGTGAAGCAGACCACAAATGAACACGCAAACAACAAATAGAAGAATTGTACGTTGTGATAAGGGCCATGAGGTAACGCAGACAAGGTGGGAAGGCAGAGTGAGAAGGATAGCAGTGGCCAGAGATAATTGTGGCGTTAGAGAAGAACATGGATTTGAGATATTTTTGAAGATGTCTATTCACAGTTGATAGCAAAAGGGACAGAGAAGTTGACCAGTGAGCGAAGGAACATGGAGAGGGCCCAGGGCCATGTGGCCAAGAGAGCAGGCCAGATGATTGATTGACAATCGCTGCGTTTGGCAGTTGTAAGGGATTAATTGGCACAGGCCCCTCTGCTTGGCTGGAGACTATATAACTCTTAATGGGAAACATTTCCACTCAGTGGAAGAAAGAAAGCCACCCACCAGGGGCTCTACTGGTTGCTGGAGCTGTGGTGCGCTGGGGGTCCAGGAAAGAGTGGGTCTCTCTGTCTGACCCTGCTTCTCTTCTTCGAATACGAGAGCTGTAGAAAAATACACTCCCAGCACAGGGCCTGGCCCAGGCAGGTGGGTGGAGTTCTGAGGCCTTGAGCATCAGCCACTCCCCTGCCCCCAACCAGGCCCTTTGACTTAGAAATGGATTCTCTGCTCAGCGCATCTGTTCTGTCTCTCTACTGCTCTCCCAAGGGCAGCCACCCACCTGCTCGTCCGTGACGCTCTCTCGAGGATGGAGAAACCCATTGCTGGCAAGGTAAGGTCTGGGAATGCTTGGTTGCTTGGATTCCTACCATGCCACTATTTCTGGGCGTAGTCACTGGTTCACATCAGGGAGTCACCAGTGGGGTGGCCTTGCTTCCCTGGTACAGATTTGCACCCCAGAAAAAGCAGAGGGTTTTTACCAACTCGAGGAGCAACTGGTCCCAGCTACTGTTCACCCAGAGCTGGTGAATCTGATGCCAACACTAAGGAGTGTGAGGAACGCAGGGAGTGTTCGAGAGACACCGGAAAATGCTCGATGGATGTGCGAGGACGTTTAATTCCATGATCCGAAGGCCCTCAATGGGCCCTGATGCAGAGCTTGAGCATGTGACCCAGGTTTCTAGTGTGAGTGAATGGGGAGGTGGTTGTGTTGCCAACCGCATACAGTACAGGATTCCGAATGCAGGCCACGCAGCCTCATTAGGGGAATGGAGACGTTCCCTTCCGGTATTTGGAGTTTGCGGTGCCTGCAGTCATCCGGGTAGCAGAGGGCAATAGGCAGAGGAACATGAAGCCCTAAGCTCCCTGATCAGGCCCAGGGAAGTGTAGGCCTCAGGCCAGAATGTGGGGGTTCAAATCCCAGTGTCATTGCTGGGGTGATCGGTTTGTAGGAGGCGGGGCAGCAGCTACAAATGACCCCCCAAATCCCAGGGGCTTACAAGAGACTTTTATGTCCTCATTGACATATAGGGTCTGGCACAAGTAGCGCCCATTTTTTATGACCAGATCTCTTACTACAAAATCGTAAGCGTGCAATTCTGTGCCACAACAATATCACACTCAAGTGCACCGTATGATATTATAGGTGAAATGTTCAAATTAAAGCTATAAATGATCACACTCATCTTATTACCCTCCCAACCACACTGAAGCAGGCGTAACACTGAAGCAGGCGTTACTTCTGTGGGACCCTGTACAAAGGTAACGGGTTCTGGAACCCAGGCTCTCGGCGGAACCCGTTTCAGCCACGTTCAGAGGGAAAAGAGCAATGACAGAGATGCAGGATGGCGCTCATGCTTCCACTTAGACCCACCCACTGCTTTTGCTCACTTTCTATTGGCTGGAGCAGGTCACACGGACAAGCCTGGAGTCAATGAGGCAGGAAGGCATGTTCCACCCACGCTGGGGACAGCCTACGCTGGGTCCTGGGGCCTATTCCCCTCGGGGAGAGGAAGGAAGAGAACGAGGCCCAATCACACGCTCCACCACAACCACTCACCCTCCATAAAACCCTGGGAGTTTGGTTCTGCCTTAGTTACCTCATCGGGGAGGCAGGACTGCCAGTAGTGCCTCTTAGAACAGTGCCCACACAGCGTGAACACTATATGATGGTAGGCGGTTGGAAGGGAGGAGGGAAGGGCGTTATTGTTTAATGGGTTCGGAGTTTCAGTTTGGGAAGACGAAGAACTGCCGGAGAGGACAGTGTCAAAGGTTGTACAACGATGTGAAGGGACTCATCTGTCCACGTAAAATGGTCACAATGGTATGTAGTGCGTATTTTACCACAACTAAAGAGATGTAGGTGGATGGCATCACCTGGGGGGAGGCAGAAGAGAAGGCGGTGGGCAGAGACCCCGGGAGCCAGCGGAGCAGGCCACGCCAGTGAGAAAGGGATCTGCGTGGGAGACAGAGAAGGAACATTCCGGACAGACAGGGCAAACCAAGAGGCTGGTGTCCTCTGAGGCCACTGGACTCAAGTTAGCAGGGAGTGTTAGAGTACCCGCAGGGGTCTGTTTTGCTGGGCTTTGAACCTGAACCTCCCCTCTGGCACCTTGGTTTTGGTGGCTCTGCTTTCTTCTGCCAACTCCCAGTGACGTCATTTTTGGTCTCTGCCCACGCTCCGCCCAGACTGCCTCCAAGCCCAATCCCGGCCAGGTCTCCTCGGCCGGATCCCTCCCTCCCCTCTCCATCCAGTCCTATTGTCTCCATTGTCGACACCTCAGTGAGATAAATCTTTCTTGGTTAAAAAGCCATGAAATAAAGGATATTTTTTCTTGTGTCATTTTTATTACTATCGATGTATATGGCTTTACCCTGAAAAACAAAACCTCCAAACTTGTATTTTGAAAATTAGGGATGGTGCCCTGGCCACGTGGCTCGGTTGGTTTGAGTGTCATTCTGTGCATCGAAGGGCTGCTGGTTCAACTCCCAGCAGGGCACATGCCTAGGCTGTGGGTTCCATCCCTGGTTGGGGTGCCAGGCAACCAATCCCCGTTCCTCTCTCACACTGATGTTTTTCTCTCTCTCTCACCCACCCTCTCTAAAATCAATGGAAAATATGTCCTCTGGTGAGAAAAAAAAATTAGATTGGCTAGTTTATGGTCAAGATTCCTTTATTAACAAAAGAGTTCATCTTTTGTTTACAGAAGTTTGACTGTTTGATAAGCCATAGGGCAGAGGAGCTGAAAGCTAACATTTTACAAGGAGGGGTAAAGACAATACAGTTGCATGGAAAAACAGTGTTGTTGTTTGTTTGTTTTTGCAATGATTACATTCATACCCCCACATTTTAAAGGACCTAAGAGGGGCTTCCTGGTTCTAGACGACTTCTTCCCCTTTTTCGTTGCTTCTAGACATTGGCCCATCACCGTGGGAGCATTGGAGGGGTGCACTCAGAGCCGAGGTTCTAAGCTGTGCACGGGAGAAGGCTTGGGCACTTTGCTTTGTAACTGATTTTATTTCTCCAAGAGTTTTCTTACTAAGTGACTTGACCTTGCACAGTTAACTTGATATAATCTTAAGAAAATATATGAAGTATGCCTTAGAAACAATGACGCATGCTCTAACCAGCATCTCATTTGGCAATCATTTTCCACGACAGCTGTCCTTTGGGATGGGGAGGTGGGGTTCTTTCTACAAGTGGACGATTAAATATACATACAAGAGATCCAAACTCCTGCTGACCTCCCTGTGCGGCAGCAGCTGGTACTGGGGGACAGAGCACTGGGCAGGCAGGGCGTCTCTCCAAGGCTTCGGTGGCCCCAGGCTGTTTGGCCATTGGTCCTGGAGTGTCACCCCAGAGAACGTGGGCAGTGCACGCATATAAACTGAGCAGCTCCTCCCCCGATAACAGCATCTGTGGGGCTCAAATGCATCCTTTGGAGAAAGAGTGAATGTTTTGTTTTGTTTTCTGCCTCCTTTTGCTGTCAGCGTCTTTTGAAAGCACAGGACACTGCAGCTGGAGAACCTGCCTCTCCAGGGTTCCACATTTCTAGGCCGTCACCCAGCAGCCCTAGAACACAGTGGACACTTTCCAGCCCGCAAATGAATGATGTGCGCCTCTGGCTGGTTTCTCAACACAGAAATTGTGGCTTTAAAAGGAAGAGCTGCTCGGTTGCTCTGGACACTGCTCGACAGTCCCAGCCGTATTCCCAAGTTGGTTTTGAAGAAGCAGATGGTATCCTGGTCCATCCTCACCCCCGCCCCGCCAACGCCCCCAGCAAAGCCAGTGTGAATGGACCGATAGGACTGCAGACGCTTACACCAGCCTGTTTCCCTGACTGTCTTCCCCCAGTGCTAATACACTTGCCCGCCTAACGGCCAGCTAATTGGGAGACAGGGATGGTTTCTCATTTGCAGCAGCAGAATTTCGGTCCTCGACTCTCCTCACACTGACTTCCCCTGGGGTTTTGGGACAACTCAGGACCCCCAAACCCTCAGATACACAGCCAGAAAGGAAAGGTGGTCTAGGTGTGTGCGTGTGTGTCTCGGTCATCCCTTTTCTTTACATGCATTAGCTCTCATGAGCCACCAGCTGGTCCCAAGGCTCTTCTCCCTGCAGGCCAGGTGGTGTCCAGACCCGGAGGAGGCCTGGCAGGTGGGAGGAGGGTGGTGGCAGCAGGTGGGGGCAGCTGCCGAGAGACCCTGAGGAGCAGTGTTGTCCCCCGGATTCACTCAGGTCCGGTCTGGCCGCTGGGAGATTCCACAGAATTGTGAGATGCAAAGGCCCTGGGGAGAGCACTGCTAAGACAGAGCCACGCTGGATAGAACTTTCTGGAAAACTTCAAGGCTCCCAGGAACGCTGGTCAGCTTCATATCCTAAAGTCACTGCAGGATGTGGCGAGGCTGCCCCGGGGTAGGTGGGGGAGGGTGGTGGGATGGGGTCGGGGGCGTTGGGTGGGGGGCCCAGTCCTCAGTCTTTTATTCTCGACGGAGAATCTCACTCGGAACCTGGAGAGGCTGCAGAGTCCCCCTCCTCGGGGTCCTGCCCATGAGGGGAGATGGGCTGACCGCCCTTCACACGCTTCCACTTCATCCTGCGGTTCTGGAACCACACTTTGACCTGGCAAAGGAAACAAAGAGGTGGGGTCACTACACCCACCGCCCCAGCGGATGCTCAAGCCAGTTGGGGTACAGCTCCAGGGACCCCACTGCCTGCCCCTCCTCACCCCTCCAAAAGCTCCAGAGACTGAGATGCAAGGGAGGACACACCTGTCTGCCCTGAGGTCTGTCTTGTGTCTCCAGATTGAAAAAACAAAGCCCTAGACAGACAGGAGAACAGGTTCCACAAGTCATTCTTCGCCCGCCCTGCCCCCTTTCACATGCTCAGCACAGAGGATGGCCAGCCTCACCCTCAGGCACATTGACACAGCGCCGCCCAGCTTCGCTACAGCTCTGGGCTGCACATTGTCTCCCCTGAGCTTCAGCGTCACCTGAAGATGGGGTTGTGACTTGTTTCACAGGTGGAGACCCAGAGAGGGTGGGAGACACGTCCCAAGGGTCACAGGGCCTGCAAGCGGTAGGAAGCAGGATTTGAATCTAAGTCTTCCGATTCTAAACCCAGTACTCTGGCAGAGCGCTGCGTCAGCCCAGAGCTGCTAGCGCATATTAATGCTATTGTCATTATTCTTCTGTGTACTCTGCGTCAGAGCATGGGTGTGGGTGGAATGCTCTGAGGGAAAGCCCAAAACAAAGGGCTAGGAAGTTCTTCCCAGCGTGTGCCCAGGAAGCGGCCGCATACCGGAATCACCTGGAGGATGGATTAGAAATGCAGATCCCAGGCCCACGCTTTATTGCTGCAAAGTCGCTCTCTGGAGCACCCAAATCCGCACTTGAAACAAGCACCTAGGGGACTCCCATGCGCACTCAAGTGGGGGAATAGCCAGACCAGAAGCTCCGGTGCTGGCTGCATGTGAGAGTGACCCGGGGGGGACCTTGAGAAAACTCTCCTGCCTGCACTCCGTCCCCGTCCCATCAGCCACCCTCCTCAGCTAGGAACATCTCGCCTGGTGATTCTCAGATACGGCCACAGTTGAGATCCCCTGGATGGGGCAGAGAGAGGAGAAAAAGGAGAAGATTCAGGGAGGGAAGGAAGAGGAGAGAGCCGAGGAAAGGAGCGATGCCCGGAAGAGGGGGGGCTCCCAGGGGCTCCTACCTGCCTCTCGGAGAGATCCAGGTTCACGGCGATCTCGTATCTCCGCAGCCGGGTCAGGTAGTTATGGTGAGCAAACTCCGCCTCCAGCTCCCGCAGCTGCTCCTTGGTGAACGCTGTCCTCTCCTTGCGGGCCTTGCTGGCTCCCTCCGGTTTCCTTCGGTTCTCCGGGTTGTCTGAGGAGAGGGGCCCCCCCGAATAGGAAGATGTGAGTCTCAAGGGCCTCAGTTCCCTTTATTTTGTCCTCAAGCAGGGGGGCAGCCTTTCCCTATCTCTCTTATTTTCAAAAGATGCTGAGAAAGAACCCACATCATGCCTTTATCTTTCCTTCCAGTGTCTTAACCCCCTGAGAACTGGTTTCTTGGCTCCCAGACTCAGGTGCCAACCTCTCCACCCCCAAAGCATAAGAAGCTGCCTTTGGCTCTTTAACGACCTCTGCCATGCAGCCCACCACCACCAGTGCACCCCCCAACTTGTTGTTAGTAGGGGGCAAGATGCTCTAAAACAGAGGTTCTCTGTCCCCCCGGGACATCAGCAGTACCCGAGAACTGCTGGCCATGCCAATCCTGGGGCCTCGCTCACCCCAGACCAGCGGAACGAGAGACTCTGGGAGTGGGGCCCAGAGATCTGTTTTAACAAGCCCTCCAGGCGATTCGGACTCATGGTCAAGTTTACAAACCACTGCTCTAAGACCTGCTGAAAGGGTGTTCTGGCGGCAGCAGCATCAGCAGGGAGCTGGGCAGACTTGCAGGATCTCAGACCACCCCCACTCCCCACCAAATCAGAATCTGCATCTTAGCAAGATCTCTAGGGGGGCTGTGTGCCAAGGTCAAGGAGTGCTGCTTTAAGCTTCTTTCCTTCTCTGACACCAGGAGGAGAGTGGAAAGTCCATCTATGAAGGAGGTCCCCAGGTGGCCACAGCAGGGACTCAGCTGGAACTGCTAGTGGGGAGCAGGGGCCAAGCACGGTCCATGTGTCAGTCACTCGGTCTCCCCAATAACCCAGCCGGGTGAGTTCTAGTGTGAGCCCTATTTCACAGAGCAGAAAGCTAAGCACTGGGAAGTAAAGCCAGTTGTCGAAGTTCATCCAAGTGCCATCAGCCAGGGGATGGCAGGGCAGGACTCAAACCCAGGCCACTGACTCACACACTGTTTGGATGAAGCATATGGAGGAAGGGTTTACAAACTGAAGGCACTGTACGTTATCTACCTTCACGATTAGAGATGGCGGGGGCTGGAGATCCCCGCCTCTGCACCATTGACTAAGAGTGGGTGCCACAGTCTGGTGCAGGGGACAGAACCACTTCCCCTGCCCGCTCCCGGAAATGAGGGAAGTCTCTCACTCCCTCCTCCTGGTTTCACAGACTTGGAGGCTGCACCCACAGGTGCTTTACTAAAAGCCACCCCCATGGCCCCCAACCTGGTTGGGAGTGTTGTAGGGGAGACTGTTTTCAGAGGCGAACCTAACCTGACCAGTGCTGGTGGGTAAGGCAGGGAGGCGGCCCACAGTCCTGGGCAAGCAGCCACAAGACCGGCTGCAGTGGGGACGAGAGACCCCTCGCACCAGTTCCCCTCTCAGCCCTTCCTTCTCCTGCTTTCCGTTCGGTCCCCTCACGTGTCAGGTTCCTGGTCCTCCACCCCCGTGGCCCGGAGCTCCGGGGCGCGGGTGGCTTGGCGCCGGTTGAAGCGATTGCCCACCGCACACCCCCGCCCCCTGGGGCTGCCCAACGTCCCGAAGCACAAGTTCTGGGGTCGTGGCGCCCTGCACGGTGGGCCGCCTGCCAGGAGCGCGGGGGAGCAGGACGGGGGCGCGATCTCTGGCCCCGGGTGCCCGCCTGGCGGCCTCTGGCTCCGGACTGGAGGAGGCCGGCTCAGACCCCTCCGGAAGCGGGAGCGTGGGCTGGAGGGGAAGGACGCGCAGCCCCAGCAGGGTCCCCCAGGAGTCCTCGGCCTTGGCCGCCGCGGGCGGGGAGGGCGCGGTCACGCAGCGGAGGGACGGCCGCTGGAGCACGGCCCGGTCCGTTGGCCGGCAGGAGGCCGGGAAACCCGCTCATTTACCGCCACCTCCCTCCCGTCCCAGGGCTCAGCGTTTTCCAGCCCTTCCCTTTAACAACCGAGGGGGCGTAAAACCCTGGATCTCCTCGCTGGAGCCTCCGAGGAAGTCACTGAACGTCCCGGGCTTCAGTCACCTCATCGAGAAGCTGGGGAAAATGAAGCACCTGCCTGCCAGGGTTATTGGGACGGTTGGACGAGCTTGTGTGCGGAAAATGCTTTTGAAAAGTTAAAGCGCTGGAAAAATATAAAGCACAATTCCATTGTGTCAACTGCATGAGATGTCACGGGAGGGGCTGGGTTAGTAACAGCTGGCGGTTCCCAAGGCTGCCGAGTGCTTAGATGCAGCTGCCAGTTGATCCTCCCCGCACAACAAGCAGGTGCTAATTGTTACCCCTCAGCACCGGCACACGGATCTGTGATAATTCGATTAACAGCTCTCTCTGTCTCTTTCCCCAAGGATGTAAGTGCTTTTTCTCACCTGCTACTTACTGTACCTGGCACACAGCGGGTACTTGCTAAATATTTGCTAAATCCTTCTCACTCCACAGAGGAGGAAGCAGCCTCAGAAAGGCCAGGGCCTTGCCCAGTGTGCTGGGCAGCTTTTGGGTGGCAGAACAGAGACTCGAACCCAGGCCCGCCTGACTAGAGCTGAGGCCATCAATCCCAGCATCGGGTTCTCTGTTTTGCGTCTGGCTGGCCAGGGGCTGGACCCGCACCATTGCCAGCTCGGCTTGTCTCCACCTCCAGGGCTCCCAGGGTGGGGGGCTCATCCTGGGTGGTGCCCACACCCACGCACCCCTTCTCCTAGGCGGGCTTGTGTTTAATAGGTGCCCTGTGGGATTCCGGAAAACAACCCCCCATCCCACCCACACGGTCCTATGTGCAATCCTCCTGAGAGAGACGGGGCAGGTGGGAAGAGGACCCCCTTTGGTTGGTTTTCAACTGGTTGTGTGGGCAGCTGACCACTGTCAACCAAGCCAAGCCACACCCTGTTCACTCTCCTCTCCTGTCTCTAGTGCCCTGATTTAGGCGCTAGGGCCTCAGGATGGGGAAGAAGAGGACATAGGACAAAGAACTGTGAGCTGGGACCTGAGCGTCTGAGCCACTGTGTAGACCTGGGGCCATCCCAGGGCCTGGGGGACACCAGCACACCAGGGGGACACTTGTCCCTCCTCAGCTTCCCAGAGCAGGAAGACCTTCCTTCACTGGTGGACATGACAAAAACGCCAGAAGTACAGGAAGCTGGCTATGAAAACTGATGTGGAAGTTACTGTTCTCTCTGTTCTGCAACTTTCTCATCAAGCTAGAAAAAGACAAAAACTAGGAGCACTGTTGTGCCGTTTCTGGCCCGGGGTGTTCAGTCTGCCGGGTCACAGGCACTGTGGCCGTGCACACTTCCTCCAGGATGGCTCGAACCCGAGCACACCTTTGTGGGGGAGCCTCCCTCCCTCTCTGGGCCTCAGTTTCCCCCTGTATAGAAGTATGGAGTTGGGCTGGGTCTTCTTTCCCTTGCAGAGCTGGCGTCAGAGTCTTTTTCCAAAACGCAGCCCTGACATCCTCTTCTCCTCTTTGGTTGAGAACCTTTGGCCTTGAACCTGAAGCCACTAACAGTTTCAACTATTATCTTGGCCCCTCGTTCTTCTCTTCAGTCATAGCTGTGCTCTTGCCGTGTGCTCTGGTCCAATCCACCCAAGACTTTACAAGGTCCTCAGCCCCAGAGTTTCTCCCTCTGACGTGCAGAGCTCGTCATCCCAAGCTGCGTGCAGGGGAGTTGTGTCTGCAGAGGTGTCTGCGGACCCCTTGACAAGACTGGGCCTTTTTGGCTCCAAGGAAGAGCTCTCTGACCTTGGACGAGTCTCATAAGTTCTCTGAGCTTCAGTTGCCTCATTTGCAGAATGAGAATAGCTGCATCCACTGAGGTCAGAAGGCTGCTGAGAAGGTGGAATGAGGCGGGCAAGGTGTGGCTAACACCTGGCACAGTGCCGGGCACAGGGCTGAGCCCCAAAGCAGCACCAGAAGAGGTCCTGCTGGAGATGATGTTGGAGAGATGACTCACGGTGCCGATTAGAGGTGGTGCTCCTCAAGGCGCCGCGCCTCCGGAGCTGTGTGAAAGGCGCGCCCTTTGGATGTCTGGCCTTTTAAACGTTTTCCCTTCTCTACTACTCTTCTATGTCTCTGCTTGGATCTGGCCACTATTGGCCAAAACTGTGTCAGCCTTCCAGGGGCCCATGATTCCAGGCACAGTAACTAGCACTGATCGGAACCATGCATCGGTCCTCTTGGTTCTGCTTCTCTCTCAGGTGCCGAGGGTACCTCTTCCAGGACTGCGGAGGGAGGAGGCTGGCACTCGCCTGGCCACCGCAGCCCCTGCCCAGCCCCCTGAGTGAGCAGGGCCACGCCGGAGCAGGCAGCAGTGCCCAGAGAAATGCAAACAGGATGTGTGTGTGATTGCGGTCTCCACTGTGAGCTTCCACACCACCCAAGTGAAATTATTTCATAAGTAGCTGTCACTTTTGGCAGGCTTTCCTGAAGTTAACAGACAGCCCTATCGGAGCCATGAGGAAGTTCAGACAGACGCCGGGGATGGTGCCTTTTGCAGCCCTGTCTCCTCCCCAGCTCTCACAGCCGTTTTTACGCGTTTCTCTCCAGGAGATAGGAGGCCTTGTGCCATGTATCTAAAGAACACTTTGCAGCTGACAGTGTGTTTCTTTCCCCCAGAGATAAACTTCTTTTGGGCTTCCATAGACTATGGAACAGTAGGGCTGGAAGGGGACTTAGTGCTAGCCCAAGGTTGCTTTTTTATTTTGCAGGTGAGCTGAGAGGAGGTAAGAGGCTTGTTTGGAGACCACGGCAAGTGAGTGGCAGAGCTGGCCCTGGAACGCACATCGCCTTGGTGAGAAGCTACCTCCCCACACGAGGCTGCTTCCTGTTGTTTTCTCTCGATTATTCTGTGAGGTAGGTAAGGCACACAGTATCTATTGAAAAGATGAGGGAATGCAGACCCAGAGACTAAATGGCTTGTCACCCCCCCCCCGGACCAGTCCAGGGCTGTGGCCACTGTCACGCTGCCCTGGGGAGGCTGTGCGCACTGCAGGGCCGGCCAGCGTCTGCATCGGGGCCCA